AAAAAAGCATTCTTACTCCTAGCAGGGTCACCTCTCCACAGACCTGACCCGTGACTTCACCGTAACTGTGGATTAGGGATGGGCATTCAATAACATTTTCTTAATCAATCGAGAGAATTAACGATCGATTAACATTTTAATATTAAAATTATCATCATTATTATTACTATCTGCGCTACTAATCTGCATAAATAAATTCAACTTTACAACATATAAACCGTAACCACTCTAGAGCCACATGAGCCCGTTTGACATCATAATGTGTTAATGCAGATTTGTGCAAGTCTCGCAGAAACTAAATTTAAAACCACATGGCTAATTTGCATAAATTAAGTGAAGGAAATAAAAAAAACAGCTCTTGTGCGCTTGTGCAGTGGAATACAGGTTAGTGTGACCATATTTGCGTTTGTCAAAACCAGGACACCGTACGGGGGGTCAGAGGTGGGGACTTGTCAATGACATTGTGCTACTCTCACCTTGGTGAGGAGAAAATACAGTTTGTTGACTGGACAAAAGTTAGTTCAGTTGAAGACGTTTCGCAGCTCATCCAAGCTGCTTCTTCAGTTCTGGGGCAAAGCTTTTTCATGTTTTCGGTGTCTTGGTGAGCTTTTTCCCACTGGACACTGAAACATATGTTCCTGCTTTGTACACTGTGCACATGGACTCACACTTGTCCCGACCACAACGGAAGGCATGGAATTTCTTGTACAAGTCATCGTTAAATATGCATTTGCGCTTCGGCGTATTGCAGGCTGAGCGACTGTTTGTGTCTGCTCGCTCCTTCTGAGTGCAGAGAGCTACATGTACAGACCCCTGTTTGGTCACGCTACGCACAGCAACCTACATTCTGTTTGTCGATTAAAATGAACGTAATCAATGAAATTCTTAATGATCAATTATCGATTAATCGACTAATCATGCCCATCCTTACTGTGAATATTTCCAGGCAAAGCTATAACATCTCCACACAGAAAAGCAGATGATAAAACGCTCCTGCCAAAAAGGTTCATAGTGCGGCTTTAATTTCAGATTTGAATGTGAAGTCCTTGTGGTCCCATAATCTTTACTCTCCCATCCTCCTCCATTATCTCACCTCATTGTCTTTTTGCCTGAATGACTCAATAGGGATTTGAATATTACGGGATGTGTGTTGGCAGGTTGGTTGGCTGGTCTTCTGTGCTGCGCCTCGAAAAATATTAAATCAACACAAGAGCCGGTTAACTCAATATTTAGCTGTTAAAATTAAATCTTAAAGCATGACTGGATTCCCTAGGTGAGTTCATACAGTCGTTATTTTAGTTAAAGGTGAACGGCGTAACTTTTCTGGTCACCTGCTTGTTACTGCTTTCTCCAGAATGTTCCACAGCACGGCATTAAAATATCTCCTGTTTATTTTACTGCAAGTGTTTTTATTGCTCAAAAATATCTTGATGTAAGTGATTGCTTCTCCACAGATCTGACCTGCCACCTGGTTTGGCTACCTACTTGTGTCCATTGGGATATATACATTTAATGCCATACTGTGGAACATTCCAAACAAAGAAAGCCATTATATATCCATGGAAACAGTCAGATGGTGTACCTTTTATAAGAAAAGCTGTCCAGTGCATCTTTAATATAAATTACTTTTGTTTTGCTTTGATAAATATATTGTAGTTTTATACTTGTTATCTTGTTTATAGGTCGTCCAATTCAAATCCTGATAAAGAAAAAATATATCTTAAAGGTGCATTGTGTAACATTTCTGCTGGAGGGTCCTTCAAAATCTTCTTCTCTGTGGAATGCCATTGCTTTGACTGCATTGTTTCAGAGTATGACATTAACCCTTTCTATCTTCATGGAGACCAAACCAGAACAAGTTACAGGTCAGATCTGTCTTGAATCAGTGCTTCTCAATTATTTTCTGTCACGTCCCCTTCCCCCCCAGGAAGAAGAAACCATTTCACGCCCACCCACTCCACAGAACCACTACCAAATGTGGACAATTCGCACCTTCGCCTTCAGTCGCCTACATACGAGAGCAAACGTTTTAGTCGCGTCTCCAAAGCGACTCTCAGGACACACACAGCATGTGTCCGTCCATATCCCACACTGCGCTCACCTGCTTCATGAGGCAGTCCGCTCCTGTGTCCTCCTCGTCTTTTAAAGATGATGTCCGTGTCATAGTTCGGCAGTATCAGTTCCTACTGCTCTTTGATTTACTGAAGTAGTGTTCACAAAGCAGGATGATTGTTGCAATATTCGGTACGTTTTCGCTGAAAAATCTCAAGCATGATTGGGGTGTAATGTCTTTAAGCGACGCCATGATTTATTTGGCTTCATGCTGTCTGCTGTCAACATTTTTAGGCTCAGTAAACACAGCGGTCTTTCCTCGTTTCCCGCCGTAGTGAAGTGAAGCCGAGCACAGCAAACGCTTTACATACAGTTTGTTCTCTGCACTTCAGATCTCTTGCTCCGTGCTGTGTGCGTTTGCTCGGTGAAAAAAAAATCCGACACAATAGTCCCTGCACACACTCTGACAACGAGAGCATCGCTGCCAACTACGGTAGTTGATGTGCAATTACACTTTATTCTAGTACAAAAAAAGCATGTTCCCCGAGGTCACACTATTTGAGAGGAACTGATCTAAATGAAAACCCAATGTGATTTTCTAGGTATTTTTGGGCTATAAAACCACCTGTACTTGAGTAAATGTAAGGTTGATCTGTTTAATGTCATACTGTGGAACAATCTAGGTAGACCAATGACAAATCCACAGAAACAAGCAGGTGACGAACCCCCAACCAAAAAGCTACATAGTGCACCTTTAAATAGTAGAAGTTCAATCCAGTTTAAGCACTTTGAAACACTAAAATATCAATCATCCATAACATGATAGCGTTTTCCACAATGCTAACAGTGTGCTTGAGGCCATAACAGTTGCTCTCTTTAATGAGTGCTGGCAGAGAGGCCGGCCCGGCTGGCGTTAACAACAGGAGCAGCCTGTTCACTCATGGTCAGGAGGAAACAGCCATCTGCGCTGTCCACCTGCTGAACTATAGTGTGCATACATCACACCAGACACTCTGAACCAGAACAGCGATTATACTCTCAAGTAGTGACTTCTGAAGGAGAAAGAGCGTGCACACAAACAAAGGGTTAGGGCTGAACTCCCTCTAGAGGAAGGTAAAAGAAGGTTGGATGGTGTTATGGAGTTATCTGTGTACAAGGTTAATACAAGATTTATGGACGCTGAATATGAAGAAACCAAACACCGGGAACTGATGTGGGTGTATTAAGCTGTTATAAGTGTGCCCACTAAACAGAAGGTTGGCTGTTCAATTTCAGATCGTATTCATAAAGTCTAGTGTTGTTGTGTCCTTGGTAAACTATGCGCTCTCTTTGTAAAGTTTTTTTTCTCTCTCTCTCTCTCCATTCACAGACATTCAATTGTTAATGTGATGTATTTTGTAACTTTTCTGGTGGAAGGTCTACTACCCGACTGTCTCCATGGAGATATTATTGACATTGTGTTCTTGGCCTACATCATCAGACATATAATAATCTGATACCTTAGGCAAGACGGCAGTCGTGGGCCTTTTCCAGGATAAGTTTAAATTCTGATGATTTTATTACATTTTTACTACGCTTTTACAATCCTGTTGAGTAAGAAAAAGTCTGTCCAAGAGGACCCTTTGTCGCTCAGGGCCCTAGGCAATCGTCTCCCCCATTGTGGCGGCTTTGATCATACTCCCTACATCAGAAACATTGCTGGACTAGATCAGACTGGACTGGGCTGGACTACACTGGAATGGACAACACTATCACAGTGTTTTGAGGGTTTATGTCTGTTTTGATTTCTAATTTCTCTCAATCTGTCTTTGTGTAAATGAATGTGATTTCTATCTGAGACCCAGACCATCATTAACATTTGTAAAGTCTCAGCAGACATAACTTTCTCCACCCTCAGGAAACTGTCTGTTGTCTTAGCTGCTCTCAAATGTACACTACCGTCAAAAGTTTTAGAACACCACAATTTTTCAAGTTTTTTACTATTTACTGTTGACCAAAATGTATTCTAAACTTTTGATTCATGAAAGTGTCCACCTTTGGCAGATATAACAGCTGAACACACTCTTGGCTCGTTCTTTTTATAATAGAAATCAAATATTCTTCAGAAAGTTCTTCCCAGGTCTGTTGCAGAAGTTCCCATAAATGTGTGGACACTTGTAGGTTGCTTGGCTTTCACTCTTCTGTCCAGTTCAAACCAAACCATCTCGATGGGGTTTAAGTCTGGAGTCTGTGCTGGACACTCCATGTTTTCAATCTTACCATCTTGTTCTTTTTTCCTGAGGTACTTTTGGCAGAGCTTGGACTTGTGTTTTGTATCTTTTATCTTTAGTTTAACTTCTGTTTGTTCAGTTCTTACCTTTGTTCCATTTCAAGCTCTTCATTGGACTCGCACGACGTAAATTGCAATAAATAACTGGAAAAATTGTGGGTGTTGTAAAACTTTTGACCAGTAGTGTATGTTAATTTAGCACAAGCCTGTGAAACAAAAGTCACTCTGCTTTGATATGTATGTAACTTGTATTTCTGTATAAATACTCAGAGTTCAAATGCTCTGGGCAGAGATTCGGGGCAGAGGCTAAGACCTGAGATGCTCTGAGGAGATGAGGGGCTAATGTGGTCGAAAGATTCTGCTGGTTAAGGGAGGCTGTTGGTCTGTGTCCAGGGCAGGCCTAGGTCCTGTCCATATTTGCTGTAACAAGAATAAATCTTGGTCTGTATTCCAAAAACTCATCGGGCTTCTCAAATGGATGAATTATTTATCATCAAGAGATATTATTTTTTCCACAACAACATCTATGAATGGGTCCTTGGTCCTGTATTGTCTGTGTTTTTGTTGCCTTTCTATTGAAACTATCTTCCAGTAACTTTGCTGAATGTTTATGAATAGTATCTAAAATTATTAACTATTTTAACTGACATCTTCGGTCTTTCTTCTGTCTCTTTCTTAGGCTCCTTGCGAGAACATGCGCACGCCATCTTCATACCCGGGCAACATGCTACCTCACCACCCGGCGCAGGCCAACTTCGAAGACTTCACTTGTTGAACCTGTCACGAGAATCTACTCAAATCTACAAGTGCGAGTTATGCAACCAAAGTCAACAATACCAGACTATACTGTATCTACCACGGAGCGGAAATACTGACCGATGAGACACTTTTTACACGGACAAAAATGGACAAATATCGAAGAGATTTAAGAGGAGAGAGAGCCCAAATGAGAAAAAAAAATACAAAATTATTCCCCTAAAGGTTTGCAGCATTGTATACTGAGGAGCACTGCCGCAAAGGACTCTATAAAAGACAATTTGTCAACGAAAATATATTGAAAATGTATAGATCCATCATGCCTTTATGTAAACACACATCGATGTTTCGGGAACGCCGCGGAACTCTCGGCCATTTTGCTAACTCACCTGTAGCAACATCTGTACGCCATTCAAAAGCTGGACTCCTGTGTAGTCTATGAGAATGTATCTCTGTGCGCAGTTACAGTTAAGGATTTGGGACTATTTTCTTTCGCGGAAGAGCTCTAGAGCGGTGACGTGGTAGAAGTGCTCCATCGAGACCATTTTTAAGAACATACAATGGTGAAAAATATCAGGTATCATCTAATGCATGCTTGTATTTGTCCATGCATGTTATTTTTTTCCATTCTAGTTTAATTTCATGGTTTTGTTTATTATTTTAGTTTTAGAGAATTATCATATTACCAAGTTTGCCTCAATGATACACAGGAAAAGCTTAAATCAGCGAGACATCCCATGATATGTTTAGACTGAGAGTGGATTTGCCGATGTTTGAGTGAGTGACGTACACTTGCCGCATTTTAAAGTTGCACTGCGTAACATTTCCGGTGGAGGGTCCGCCATCTGCTCGTCTCCATGGAGATTATTGCTTTGCTTTACCTGGGTTAGGGTTAGGGTTAGTATGACTTTAAACATATCCATCTAACATTTTGTCATTACGGGTGTTTCTATTGCTCAAAAATACAATATTTCATAAAATGAACAGGGGCGCCTCTCCACAGAGCTGAACTGTAATGTAGCGTAGTGCTGTAACCTGCTTGTTCCCCTTTTGATAAATCTATACCGTGGAACATTCTTGACAAAGCAATAACATTTCCATGGAGACGAGCAAATAAGTGACGGACCTTTCACTTGAAATGTTACGCAGCGCACCTTTAAAACATTCCCTAGTTTTACTTTTTTTTTTTTTCTTCAAAGCATCACTTAAATTTAAAAAAAAAGTAATTTCTTATTTCTAAGATTGGAATTTTGGTAGATTTTATTAACTTCGCAAGATGGACAATGTGCTGTTATCTGATTGGTTAATCGGTCTGTCAATCAAGCCAATCAGAACTTTGTATAGAATTGGAAAATGTTGGAAATATTGAAAAAGCAGCCTTAAACTGTTTTTGCACTGTTCGTGTTTCTCAGTGGTGCATTTCGAAAGCAGAACTCAGTAACTTTGCGTGTTTGTAATTTAAAAAATGTTCGACCACTCTTGCCATAACGAAACTGGACAAATAAAGCCATGCTAGTTTGTTATCTGGCTAACATTCGTACAAGACCGAATACTTCAGGGAAAATACTTGTACTTACCCACATACACGTATACATACAGAATCGTTTATTTACCCCACAAAAACATCACCGTCACACAAACTCCCTAAAGATAAAAAGTTACAGAGTTCTGCTTTGAGTAGCCTTACGTGTTTGAAATTAGCCAAAACAAATCAGGTCAGATTAATTATATTATGATGCTGTTTTGGGAGATTACGTGAAATAGTTCCGCAATTTTATGACGAATATTTTAAGTGAGACAATGTCACAGTAGAATGGTGCTGAAGAGTCCAGTCCACTGTGGTAAATTTCCCATTCATTTTTCCCATGGACTTTTCGAGAAAAAAAAAAATCAATATTCAGTTCTATATTAACAGTTTAAAGGTGCACTATGTAACTTTTTGGGTGTTTTATGGTTATGTCATAGACCTTTTTCACAACGTCCTGAAGAGCAGTGATGTAGGGTAAACGTAACTCCTGGTTAATGCTTTTCTATGGCAAAATATCTGTGGAAATGCCTCACATATTTTCCACCAGCTTCATAAATCTGCCCCATCAACAAATCTTCATCCAAACAAGGTCGACAAAAAACATATTCTGTCCATGAAGAATTTATCCACAACTATCAAGGTAAGAAAGATGAAAACGTAAAGGCGAACAACGATTACCATTAGTGAATAACTTGTTAATTCGGACTGATTCTACAATTAAAATTAAATATCAATTTCATGATGTAGATGTTCAGACAGACAGAGTGATTTGTGCAGTTTAAGTGCTAGACATGTAATCTGTGAACATCTGTAGCATTCGAACTGCACAAATCTCTCTGTCTATGCTAATATCTACATCATGAAATCGATTTTTAATTTTAACTCTAGAATCAGTCTGAGTTCACAAGTTACTTATGTTTTATTCATTACCATAATGTTACTTTTTCTCAGGAGTAGTTCACTAATGCGTCGTCGTTGTTCGCCTTTACGTTTTCGTCTTTCTTACCTTGATAGTTGTGGATAAATTCTTCATGGACAGAATATGTCCTTTGTCGACCTTGTTTGGATGAAGATTTGGTGATGTGGCAGATTTATGAAGCTGGTGGAAAATACATGAGAAATTTCCGCAGATATTTTGCCATAGAAAAACATTAATGTAAGTGACGTTTACCTTACATCGTGGCACTTCCGGCTGTTGTGAAAAAGGTCTATTGCTCTGCCTGGAATGTTCCACAGTATGACATTAAACAGCTCTACTTTACTTACTTTAATTCAATTACAGGTGGTTTTATAGCTCAAAAATAACTAGAAAACGGGCATTCTGACTGTGAGCGGGGTTGCCTCTCCTCCATGAAGATAGAAAGGTTTAATGCCATACTGTGAAACATTCCTGACAAAGCAATAACATCTCCGTGACGACACACCTTTAAAAGCATGATAGAGGCTAACCAAATACACGGTAACTAGTGCCCATAATACAGTTGTTTTCAGTCAAAAACACACAAAGAATTGCCAAAATGTTTAAACAATTAACCCTTGACCAAGTTTTCAAACTTTTAATTAAGTTGTACATATTATTTTTTCAGAAAGTCTATGGGAAATAACAGAAAAGTTACATAGTGCAGCTTTAACATATCAGTCAATTTACACGTGTTTTTTCAGTAGGCTACACAATTATAAAAAGAATAAATATAACATTGACTACCCAGATCACTAAGAACATAACTATTAGTAGCTTATATCCTGTTTGATTTTCACATCAGGACGAGGTGAGAGTTGAAAGTTCTTGAATCTTTTGTGTGGCTTACATTTCTGTATCTGTGTTATTCTAGTTGCTAAAGTCTTATCAAAGCACAATACCGCCATTATGTAAAGGTGACGTAAAAAATGTACTATTCTTATTGATATATTACCATATAATTAATATCGTGTTGAGAAGACTGTTTTCCTTCCTTCTGTTGCGTTTTTCTTTGGTATAAAACATATTTGATAATGCCTGATAGACTGTCTCCATCACCAGGTCGAAGGCTGGTCTATTTAGTTATATCAGAGCATAAATAAAATGTAAATATCATTTTGAAACTTGTCTGGTCATTTCATTTTTTCGTTATTGTGTTTTTAAATCGCTTTTAAAATAGTGTGTAAAATATAATGGACCTACTGTATTGCTGTGTGTATCACGTCATTACATAATTGACAGAAGTTATATGAAAGAGACATGCTTTTATGATGTAACAAAAACAATATTTATGTAGAAGTTCCTATGGGCTGTCAGATTATATATCGAATTGCAAGATTCTTTGCATAAATTCATTGTTTTGGTGCAGCAACAGCTAAAAAAAACAGATGGAACTACATAGACTATGATCCTTTGCTTTGTTTTAGTTCAGACGTAAAGGGACAGTTCGGAATTTTGGACATAGGACCTCATTTACTAGTTAACCAGAGTGTTGGAGACACTTTTTTAAAATATTCCATCCAGTCCTTGTATTTGTAGAGGCCACTGGTGCTAGGCTAGTGCATGTCAATGGCCATAGTTATCCTGTCACTAAAAACAGTCTTACTCACTCCACAAAACACCAGAAGCAAATCTATTATTACGGCAGACTGTCGATGTAAATGTCTGTGTTGATAGAATAATATTAAAAGTAAAACGAACCTTGCATTTGTAGGATTTATGTCTAAACAGCAGCAGTGAGTTGTACTTCCTGATAGAAAGCTTGGCAGCGGCGGACTGATATATGAGAATATAGTCCCTCAACGTGCCACAATTCATGCGATGCAAGGTTAGTTTTATTTCAAATATTATTCTATTCTATCAACACAGACATTCACATCGACAGTCTGGTGTAATAATAGATTTGCTTCGGGTGTTTTATGGAGTGGGTAAGACTGTTTTTATTTGCAGGCTAACTATGGCCATTGACATGTACTAGCCTAGCACCAGCGACCTGTGCAAATACAAGGACATATGAAAAAACAAGGTCATATGAAATGAGGTCCTATGTCCAAAATTCTGAACTGTCCCTTTAATGAAGAAATAACTATTTAACTGTTAATAACTGTCTTATTAAGCAGTTTTAAATCTTAGTTTTTTGGATTATGACAGAACCAAAGTCTTGTCAATGCTAGGGCTGGGTATCATAAAGAAATTGCCGATACGATACATACCACGATACATAGGCCACAATGCTATACATATATTGATACAATGCACTTTCGGTTCAATACAATATATTTCAAATCAACTTGATACGGTTCAATAAAAATAATGGTTAAATCATGGCTGTGATACTAAAAGTCTTTGTTAAACCACTTCTTGTGCAAAGTGAATATGAAACACAAACATTTGAATCATCAAAACAGTGAAAATGTCAAATGTGTCGCATAAACAAGTTTCCTTCCACTAAACCTACAATAAAACTGTAGCGCTGTAACAAAATAATTTAGTAAAATACACCAAAAAATACTCTTTGCAATATATTGATACAGCAGCCCACGATATTGATACTGTATCATCACATTAAAAGATAAGATATATATATATTTCAATATTTTTGCACACCCCTACTCAATGCATATTAAAGGAAAAAGTAGCATATTCACAATGTGGTTTGCCTCCTCAAAGTATCGCAGTAAATATTGTATTGTGAAGATATTGTATCAAGAGATTCAGGTATCGTTACATCGCTAATGAAAAATCAGTGATGTCCCGTGGAAAATGACATGGAGTTAAAGCTAAACTACACTGATGTGGGTGTGATGAAGACTAGCAGACCCACCCCTGTTGCATTTTCAGGGGGTAGCTTTAATGGTTATTCGCAAATTAAGATTCAGGTAAAAAAAAAATTTAACTACATGTTACATAGTCAATCTTGCTTTGATTCTTGATTTAAGACTTCTGTTATAATTCATAATAAC